CGCAAGACGAAAATGGCCGTGAATAATCGGCCGTTTCCGAGGAGGCGGCTCACCCGTCCGCGGCAAGTAGTACGAGTCTAAATATTGCGAGACGCGATTTCCTACGGTCGAGCCGACCGAGGGAGTTTCTATGGCTATCGACCCGAAAATATTTTGCCACGCGAGATCCGTCACGCCCCGGTTCGAAAAGGTCGACCCCTTCCGAGCACCGAAAAGATGGTTGCATTTTCCGGGGCACAGGCGGAAATGCTTGGAACGATTTAGAAAGCAAGCCCGAACGGAACCAAATTGGAACGATCTTCGAGTCGAGAGACAAAGGAAAACCAAAAACATAATTCTCGTACGATTATTTGATGTTATCGCATTGTGATTTTAATTCTTTCTTTTCGTTTAGATATCTGAATTAACTTCAGGTTCGTTTATGAAATCTAGGAAATGGACAGGAAAGTCGACTTTGTAAATCCTGTCTCGTTCGATTTACAAAGCCAGATGCTTTCATCGAATGTCATTTTAATCGATGCATTCTTTTCACGGACCGATCGAGGTATTCGTGTGTGGAAGAAAGTCGTCGGCGAAACGATGGACCGTCTATCATTGCGAGGAGATATCAAAAATTTACGACGCCAAGGAAAGTAGGTTCCGCATATATAAAACGAGACGTGTGAAAAAAAATTCAGGTGTGAATCGCGTTTTAAATAATTGTATTCTATAACGCTCGAAGCCTGTGAAAGAAAAACACGCGTGCTTTTAATGTAGTGAAAACCGACCTAGAAATTGTAATAATTTTTTTACCGTTCACGCTAGAAAGCGAGTGAGCTCGTGATTCAGCATTCGCTGCCTTTGTAATCCAATTAATCCGATAATACGTACGTCTTGTCAACTTCCGTGACAATTAAACTGCATCAAAGTTTCGAACAACGATCGAAGTAACATTGTCTGTTATTTATAACCAATGAGAATTGTAATCTGAACTGAACTGAACTGAGTTCCCATGAATATTGATCGCTCATGCTGGCTGTGCTTACGAAACCATATCACGTAAATAAAATAGACCACCTAGGTCTGTTCGGAGGTCGGTTTGGTTCAGGTAGGAAGCTGCCGCTTCGTTTACTTTGAACAGAAGGCCGTAAATAATTCGACAGGTCTCGATGACGCCTAAATTCTGAAAATGCTTCGTGTCCGGGACGACAGGAGCATTTCAGGTTTCAGGAACACCGATGTTCCATCCGCGGGAACAGGTGAAAATTTACGGTGGTCTGGCGACGAAGAACGGTCTTGCGGCCCCCGATGTGGCCACTAAACTCCATTTCATTTTACCATTGTGACTCTGCGCTTCCACCTGACAATACGAATCCCGAGACCTTGACCAGGGGATAACGCCATACTTTCAGCGAATATCATAAAATATCGTAGAAACATCGCTGCCCTGTTGGTTTAACGCACGTATAAATTAAAAAGTTACTGTAGGTTGATAAGGATATGTATACTTATTAGTGAATGTGTACGTAAGCAGTACCAAAATTATCCATGTTTTCACAGATGTCAACAGTTAGGAGTATTCTGTGTATTCTGAGACCTTCTTAAAAGGGGGTATTTTATAAAAATGAATGTGAACGTGTTCCAAAATGGAGTACGTCCAACGACCGTAGGCTCGAAAGTACACAAAATCGGGAGAGCCAATATCTCGCGAGAGCCGCAAATGGCGCGGTTCTGTTGTAAAACTTCACCGTAGTAAATCGACCGAAAACGGTCTGTGGGCCTAGATGTGGCCACCGAGCATCCTTTCATTGCGTTTTACAACACCCAGGAAGCTGTGCACTTAGCCAATTCAATTCCGACGAGTGCCTGCTACGAGCTGGAACCCCGTGGCCCGATGCCATAAATTTCGCAAATCGGAACCCCGCGCATCCATCGACTCCCAGACCCCTCGGAAAACTTTATTGCTCGTTACGATAATCGGTTTGCAAGGTCAGGGAAAATTGCGTAACCTCGTATTCACGGATCACCGTCTACGAGGAAAATTGAATTATTAAACACAAGAATTCGATGGATACCTACAAAACAGTATTAAACAACATTTCCATAGAGCGTCGAATAAATTTTTTGGCAAAAAAAAAATTTCATAACGGTCTGAAAAAATTATTTTCAGTTGCAGGGGTCGGTTACAAGCATTTTTGGTGAATAGACATACCCCCGAAATACTACTCACTTTCTAGAAAAAAATTCGAGAAGGTGTGACATTTTTCGACAAAATTAAAAAATTTCAAATCGTTCTAAAAAAATTATTTTCGGTTGCAGGGGTCAATTATAATAATTTTAGGTGAATAGACATACCCCCGAAATCCTACGCAGTTTCGAGAAAAAAAATTCGTATTTCTATTTTTCGTCTCACTTCCTCTGGTGTTAATTTCTGTAACCTGTTGGTAATGTTGCGAGTGACACGAAAATGATAATGGGGGCTCTAGAGCCCCATAAAAAATGCATTGGATGTAAGGTCTATTCGTGTAGCTTGTCTGTGGGGATACTATGGAGCGCGTATGCCGGTTCGTAGGAAGTCTGTAGCCGATTACCAGAAGTCTGCTAATTGGAAAAAGGTGGCCGGATGATGTCTCGATCGGCCTTGCCAAGGACTCTCCGCGCCGTTCTCCGATTAAGCGCCCGAGCGCACGCATGCGCTCTCCGGGGTGCGCGCGCGTACGTAAATAGGTATCCGCGCGCACCGTGGAAGCCGGGGATAACCGCCGAGTGAAACCTCTTGGCGTATGCGCGCGAGCTACGGGGGATCCCACCACGGTTCGTCGTCGGCTAGAGACAGGCGTTAAGTGTGACGCACACACGTAGTTGACGTACGTGACGTTGTACAGGTGTGCCGGCATAAAGGAACAGGTAGATGGTACTCTGGGTGGCGCGTGCACACAGCCACGGACACGGATGTTACACGAACTTACGAGGAAACTTACTCGCGTTGCCGTTACACGCTCGTGGCCACTGCGCCTGTGAGGTCGTTACATAAATATGCGCGAGGCGTATTGCTTCCTTTTTTAACAATTCGTTTCGTAATTGTTTATCACGGCGAGATCTACCCTGATCGCTCATCAGCCGGGCCAGAATTCATTTGCGGCGCGCCGAAAAAGATGGCTGACTTCCAGCGGTGACCACCATTAGGGAAATGTGCAATAACTAATATTTTATTTTCATTACAGTAATGAATCAACGATTTTACTTTCTTTTTATTGTTGACGATACGAATAAAACTTGTCCAACTCTACGAGACATCATCCAATTGCGACATTACAGTTTACTTAAGCTCTAATTGCACGCGACCTTTGACCCCGCGTTTCGAACACCGACGCTTGTGTAACAAACTTTTCTCAGGCCAGTAAATGGTAGTTCAGGGTTAACGCGTCGGCGCGAAGCGATATAAGAAAAAAAAAAAAAACAGTTGTGCCAGAACACGTACACGGAATTCGAAGAGACGGATTTCGAGCTCACGTGGGGGCTACATCACGGCTCCCGGTTATTACGTTGAGGAAGTCACGCGGTCCCCAAGACCCCGAGGCCCCAAAAAAATGAGGACATTCCGTGGAACGTGGGGGGGATCCCCCCTCGTACACCAAAACGAGGTTCCGGATTTGGGTATATAGTATCACCACGGAGGGAGAAGTTTGGGCAACTGGCTTACGAAGCCGGAGCCACACGGCATCCCAATTCTCGAAAGTGTAACTAGGTAAAGGTCCGTCGTCTACTGCCCTAGCCCGACGAAGGAAATGTGACCCAGTTGGGTTCACGGACGAAAAACCCGTGGACGGCTAGAGCGCGATTCTGGTATGCGGCCATTTCTCGAACGAGATCGTAAAAATAACCCCGGCCGTGGCTTCGCGTAAAATCGTTTTTTATCAAAACAACCGTCGACAAAAAGTGTCCTAAATTCCATCGACGACAAAAGAAGGGACTGTTCGTTTATTAATTATAATCTTAACTCGAAATGGAACGAAAATACACCAGAATCTAGGAATGGGACCGAGACATGTTTAGATACTATCGATACCTTGATGTCACGAATCGATCGTGTCGATCGGTCGAGTAAAACGATTACGGTTGCAGACTTATCGAGACACGGGACTGTCGCGTCGATACTTATCGATTACATCAAGCTTGAAACCTGTTTAGAATTCGCATCAATAATTCTGGAAGCATCTTTATGTTTACAAATAGTAATATTAAAATACAATCTGCCCAGCTATGGTTGAGTAGCCAACCCTCGGGGGTTTTTGGAGCTCAGTTTGAGAAACGCTGGTCGCGGCAGTCCGTGGCTTTTGTTCCCAGTTGTCCCATCGATCGTAGAACGGAACGGGATCGAGAAACTGAGAGAAGAAGAGAGTTTACCGGTACGGAAGATTATTTCCAGTTTGTTTGCCATCAGAAACCAAGAGTGGGTCGCGGCATTCGTGGCCGTTGGCAGCGATAACGAACAGCTCACGATTTTAACGTGGGTTTCCTCTTCCGTCCCGTCGCTTCCTGCCTCCTTCCACGTCTGCGATCCTCTTCTCGGATTCCCGGCGATGGCAAAAAGTCGAGCGGATCGGCCTCGCCTCCTTCCTCGCGCCGCAACGAGCCGCACAGGACCAGCCTTGCTCTTCCAGTTTTGTCCTGTTTAACAAGTGGGCCAATCGAGATGGAGAGTAAAACGCGGGAGTACGTAGACACGGATTACACGCGTACGAGTCTCCGCGGGCACAGTTACGCGGATACCCGCAATTTTCATGGACTCTTGTTTTTCGCGATAATTTCCTTAAGGGACCCGGCACACCACGAACGATACAAGGCGTTCCAAAATCACGGAACGAATCGAAACGATCGAATCCTCCGCGCAAACAGGAATTGGAAAGTCCTTTGTCGCGTGGCTATTAAGAGCTTTGTTGAGCTTGGTGACGCCATTCAAACTTCAATTGGTTATATTTGACAATTAATGCACCGAATCCAGTCTGTGCGATACATACTTGCGTAATGTTCTTCTAAATATTCCATATGTACACCATTGTTCTCAGACATTTCTTCCAAAGACTCTCGTTTCCTCTGCCGCGTAAACTGAGCCATCGAAGGCGTACCTGTTCGTTGTAAAATATTTAATTTTATTCGTTGTTCGTAATTTGTGTTTAAATAAGAGCTTTGCTCGTCTCTGGCGCTCGGAAAGGGAGCATGCGTCACCATCTGTTTCGCGGAGACTTCGATGCCGGCATAGAACATGACTCTCGGGCGATCGACGCTAGGAATAGACGAGTAAAATCAGCGTATAGCGACTTATTCATCTTGTATTACTCGATACAAGCTTATCAGTTCTGTATTTAATCATTTTGAGTACAATGTCACGTGTATTTGAAACATAATATTCCATATTCTAGAGAGATACACGTTTACGAATCAAATAGATTTACTCGGTGACGATATATAAGTCTGTATCGACAAATTACAAATAGATGTGAGACGAAACGTTTATCCGAATAAGAATTTTGCCCGTCGACGCGTAGAACGAGTACTCCGTGCCACATCCGGTAAAATATTGCTCGTTTCGTGGTTCTAATTCTAATCTCCACGGATCGGGTCGTGGCGCGGAGACAGCCCGTAAACGTGATCGTGATCCACTCTCGGGTATTTAGCATACAATTACCAGGCTCCCTTCGGCGAGAAGCTACTTTCAGCCGGTGGTGTGCCGGCGGTACGAGTAAAAAATTCACGAAGCGGCATCGGAAATACGATCACGCCCGCGAGTAAATCTTCCAAGGACGACGTACACACGCACCAAGCCCGCGTGGCGAGCGTACGGTGTGTACGGGCATTAAAGCCACAGCGACAACGGCGTATGTAGCAGCATAGTATAACATAGGTAAGTGTGTTTGTGGGTCAGTGGCACGAGAGCTGCCCGCCGCCACCGCCGCCACAATAAGCCGGCACACCGTCGGCTGGCAAAATCGTACCTACATTATACAGATCGCGAAGAGCCATTGTTCTTGAACTTGCACGCTCACGCACCAACGACCTACGTACCACACGCGTCCGCCGTCCTCGTATCTTTTACAACCTCGACCCACGGAGAAAACCACCGCCGATCCTTGATAAGGAGAAATTGGGGCTGTTGGAAGTCGTCGGTGACCTCTCTTTCCATCGCGTTTGATCGATCGCCATATTGTACCAATGCCTCGCGTCGATCCACGATGCCACATTACGGAGGAAGCGCAACGTATCTGGAACACCCAAGCATCCGAATAAGCATCTACCAACGTCGCGAATAGCAGTGGCCAGTGATCTGCTAAATGACATTTGAAATCGTAATTAATATATGTTAATTTTATTAAAGACGAAAGAGGAGAAACATGGGTGTTTGGAGGCAGAAAATGAACCGATTAACTTTTTGCAAAATACCACCGTCAGTTTTAATCGTTCGCTGCAATATCGTGCAATCGGATATTTGTATAGAACTCGTTGCGCACATGTTCTGTTACCTTAATATCTGATGGTCGAGCAGGTGTTCGAGGAACATTAGGGAAGTTACACGAGGATTATGATTGCAATCATTATCGACATCAAACTTGAAAGTAGTTGAAGTCTCGCTTCGAGGTTGTTTCCTAACGTATTTATTCGTTTCACCGTTGATGAATAACAAATTCGGGTTACCAAAGTCCGATACACAGCTTCACGCTAATAATTGCTCAAGAGTAAAGATTTCGTTCTCGTTTAAAATTGGCAAGAAAGAACGAACGGTACGATACGATAAGAAATATCAGGAAGATACGTACCGGGGGGCAAATGTTGCAACAACGAATTCGCGCCGCGACGCGGAAAAAACGAAGCGGTGGCTCGAGAAGGCACGAACGAACGATCGTGACCAATCGGCCAGGTCGGTGCCCAATTCCTCGGTACCGTAGGCAAGTAGGTATCCTCGGGGTTCTCGAGCAACGCCGGGAACGGCGGTTTTTCTGCCCCGGCCGCGATTTTTGCCACGATTTTACATAACGTCGTTCCCGCGTAGCCACGCGTTGCGCCACTATTCCGTGTAAAATATACTCGGCTCGGTCTACGGCGATACATTTACGGGCGAACGCAAAAGAAAAAAAAAATCCCCGCGAATCTCGCGGATGGCTGTTAATCACCCGGACCGTCGTCCCCTTATGTCGGTTTCGCGTGTTGGACGCGTGCACAAGTGAAAGCACGCCGCTAGAGCAGCGCGGGATCGCATAAAATTGACGAAACCGCGATTAAACCGATTCCCTCGATTGTCAAATTACACGGAACGTAACCCTTATGTCTATAGTACCCTTTATCTAATCATTCTGCAGTACGCAGCCTTTTTCCAATTGCCAATACTTTGCTTCAATCCCTTTAAAAATATAAATAATTGCGCAGAAAAGGGGACACCTGACGATCACGTGGGAATGGGACACTTTCATTTGGTACAAGATAACAGAGGAACAACCTTTTTGAATATTTATTAATGTAGGAGATTTGTATTGAATATTTCTGCCACGCTGTAGTTTTGTTCAATGTTAATTTATGTGAAAAAGGGTTGAAAGTGTTTTGTTGAAGAAAGAACGGGTTACTAGGGACAGCGAGACAACAGGGAGTGAGAAACGAGTGATTGTGAAAGACGGACGTGATTTTAATTTGTGTTGCTAATTATTAATTTGTGTGTTCCAAATTCGTTTATTATAATTATATGATTTGTACATTCGTTCCTTAAATAAATCCTCCTCGTTAAATCCTACATTAAAATTAAAATATTGTCGTTCGATTTGTATAATTCTTACCAATTTTCTGGTAGAAGACGGTATCTGGGGATGCAAAATACTTTGATGGTGCAGCATCCAATGAGTAGGCGAGGAATAACTTCTTATCCTAAAGAGAATAACAAATGAAGAGTGAAATGTTTTTGAGAAATAAATAGAAAAACAGTGATTGTACCTTCTATCCTGTTGCACCCGTTTCCTTGTATTCTCTTTATCGGAATACGATACTTTGGTCTTGGTTACCGTTCGCGATACCTATGGAAAGATGGTTTCATAACAATTGGACTGTTCGCCGGCAGAATCATGGCACATTCGTGAGTTCGTTGCACCGGCTCTGTCGTTGCAACATTTTATAATTACGCCGCCGTTACGTTCCGCGAGTCCCGCGCAAAAATAGACGATATCATTGGGGGACATTCGACACACCGCGCTGGCAAGAATTGGCCAATTGCCGATCCACACGAACACGATCGTTTTGCACGAACGCGAACCGAAGCGAAACGACCAACGAGTCCTTCGACTGCAACGTCCCCGCGCTGCAAGGACTTATCAAGGACGTTCTATATATTTCGAGAGAAAAAAAAAAATATTTATTTAAACCGCCGCGCCGTTCTATTCCTCGGGCGAACCATACCTTATGCGTTGCACTACGAATATTTACGAATAAATAAATATAATGAAGATAAGATTGTACAAAATATCAAGCATCGAGCATCGTTGTGTAATTATTTCGTATTTCGAGCGTGCTATCACTTTGATCCTCTTTTGATAAAAATAAAACATCGACAGGAAGTAAATTAAAACTTCCAAATGCCTTTTAGGCCCGCGGAGCGGTTCGTAAATAAAATTTAGCCAAGCTCGCCGCTGGGCCCGTCCGAACAGCATCCTTGCGCGGTGTGCCCGTTTTCAGGCCTCGTGTTTCGTGCCCGAGTAAAAGTGAGTCCCAGATAAACGGCATGTAACGCTGTAAATACATCCCGGAACACAAGAGCCACGGCACGGTCCCCGTGAACTTGTTCGCGAGCCTCCGACGAAATTAAAAGAGGGGGGGCAGAGAATAAAGGAAGCGGTTCCGCGTACGAACTATTGCCTTTAGGTATTGTCGGTTCCTAGTTCGGGCGTCCGCCAATGCACGACGGCGGATTTAGGTCGAGGAAGTCACGAGTGGTGCGAGTTCGACACAATTTCCTCTATTCGTCCGTCGAATGTCAAGGTGTAGGCCCCGTCATCGGGGTTCGTACGAACACCGCGCGTGACTATTCGGCGACTTCAAATGCCCGAAATTCTGAGCACGACCGTTAGGCTAACGTTTAACTGTACAATCGTGGCGCAACACGTACGAAAAAACCTCTTCCCCTTCCCTACGCCCTTTCTCCGACGTTCCACGAATTAATGCAGGGTTACCCGAACGTAACGTCACCTCGACGCTTACTTACGCCGAATAGAAAGAGTTTCCGAACCAGCGTTTCTTAATTAATTCGTGAACAAACGTCATATTATTTGTCGTCGGGCCGCCCTTAGCTTAAAAGCGAGGGGGACAGTAACGATGTCACGATTTCGCACGATCTCATTTCTTTCTATTTTTTTTCTTTTTTTCTTTTCGTTTTAGACTGGACGAAGAAAAAGAGTGCGTGGCCAGTGGTGTGCGTCCAACCGTAACACGCTACAGCCCCCGGCGGCATTACTACTTCGTTACGCTCGTGTATTTTTCCGAAATCTTATTCTTACACGAACGCCGGTGCCCGGCGAGGAAGGTCCGTCGACCGTAGAAAACTTAACGACGCCTTATCCGCGTAATTAATTAACGCGCCGAGCGGTTTTATACGACGAATGTTATCCAATCCCGTCCACGAAAACGTTACGACCGGTGCATGGTTAGCGGACAAAGCGGCAAAACGCGAACCGCGCTCTGCGGAACTACGATTCTGCAACCGCGAAATTTACCATGGAAGTTTTATTTACGAACGACGGGCACACATTTTGATTCACGAATCGACTTGCAAACGAAACGTAAACGGAAGCAGGTTTACCGATTTATGAAAGTTCTTGTTAAACGTGCTACCGAAAACTAACAACTATTACAATTTTTACACAAATTAAATAATATATTATTTCGAACATCCTCCACTCTGTTTTATTGTTATCTAAGAGACAAATTGAATCGGAGGGTCATGCCTGGTTTTCACGCATTTACGACGGGCGCAATATTTTAGGTGAAACTCGTTCCGTCAGTTAGCGGACAAAAGGCGAGGCAGACGCGGAAGCGGCACGTTAAAGAATTGCGGTAAACAGAGGGTTGAAAGACCTATCGTTCCTCTCTCGACTTCCTGGTTCACCTGAGGAACACCCCCTGTGGCTCTGTCGGGCCTCAGAATCCGACCCCTCGGCCACAAAAGTACGCAAACTTGTCCGCCGATCCCGTTCATGGTAAACAACGCTTACCTGTTGCGAACCGCGCAGTCAGGTAAGCGGAATCGACGACTACCGTGCACCCGAATTTCGCAACCGAATCTAATTTAAAGGTGACACACCGTTCACTGAAGCTTCGTGACGCCTCGACTTGGTCTCTTTGGAACAAGCTGCTACGCGTTTCAAATAACAGAGCTGTTGCCACACAAACCACAGTCCTAAACAGACGAAACATTTTTTAATTCTACTGTATACTACTGTAAATCGTTGAAAAAATCAATTTTGTTTTATATTTACCCGAGGAATATGTCCAAATTCAATTTCAGATCTTGTTTCCTTTGTTAAATTCAATTACCATTCCTTTGATCATTGATTTTTTCTGTCGTTGAAAAAATCAATTTTGTTTTATATTTACGTGAGACATATGTCCAACTTCAATTTGAGATCTTGTTTCTTTTGTAAAATTCAATTACCATTCCTTTGATCATTGATTTTTTTCTGTCCTTTAGTAAATTTTATATTTAAACCGATGCTTTTTCTCGCAATTTTTGGACTTGCCAATCGCAGTTACAGCAGCGACAGTTTCTCCGAATGTTCTCAATTAAGGGATCTCTGTATGACGCATTCGATTTTCCTGGTAAACGTGTAATCGTCCCGACAAAAATTTCTCTCCTTAAATCCCACTTACGTAGCACGATGTAAAAAAAGTTGTCCGATTTTACTTTTTAATGCGAATCCTACGGTGTATTTAAAGCACATACTTGCTTCCACCGTCATAGATACCGCGGAGTGATCCAGGCCAGTGTGCCACCACGATTCGCAGGGTGCGAGATACCAACAGAAAGAGAAGAAAGACTCGCGGTACGTCTCCCGAGAACAAGTACAGTGTGCGACAAAACGATGGTACGCCTTGAAACACCATTCGTTTGAACATTACTAACGAGCTATCGAGTCCACACTTTTTGCCACGCGTCTTATTACTAGTTCCGTCGCGGTTTTATTTTCCACGGAATTATTAAAATTATAACATGTTGGGAATAAATTTCTTTCCACTTCCGGTTCACCGTGGACCGTTTCAGACTTGTATTGGTCGATAGAAACTTATCATGGGTCACTCGAGACTTATTTTGATCGACTGAAACTCGTCGTGGGTCACTTGTAACTTATCATTAGACTGTTTATGCATTTATGGGAAATTTTAATTTTCAAAAAGCTACAGAATTTAGTTAATATGCAAGAATATAAGAAATACTTCACGTAAGGTATAAATTATTATATCTGGAGGTTGAGACAACCCTCTACAAAGCTCAAATTTCATTAATTTTATTAATAAAAATATGAATTTGCATGAAGATCCGCAGTCTACTTATCATACTTTGACTTGTTGCATGTGATATTAGTACGATATCGAATCAAGTAACCACATAGATATAAAAATTCAGAAGCTATTCCGTACATTTGTTTAATGTACAATATTGTAGATAGAACGTGTTTTTTATTTGCAAATTAAAACTGATTTCAGTTAAATGATAGGAAGTACTTGTTCCCGTTTGTATGCTCGCCGCTGTGCATCGGTTTGAATAAATAACTTTTGGAATGTTCATTCTGAAAATAATTCGCAATATATAGGACGGAACGTTAAATAATATAAGCCGTGCTATCGTTTTGTCCCACACTGTAGATCATTTGATCTCGCAGATACTTACTAGTAAGTACGCGGCAACCGTGCCAGCGTTCGTCACAGTTCTTAGACCGGCCTAACCGGCCCAACTCAACGATTCGCCTACACCGAGAAGCGAATCCTCTTCACTTTTACCGTAAAACACGCTGAAAAGCGCGAGCTGCTTGAACCATTTTTCGCGTACAGCCACGAGAACACCAGAACGTGTGAGTGTCTCATAACGTGGCAACGACAGGCGCACGGTTGCTCCTCGATGTTACAAGACACGTTACCGTACGCCATTCAATTATGGAACTGAAAGGAGAAATTCTGAATTTCCATCGTAATTCTCGGAATTTGCAAACAAACTGCATCACCGTTGTTTCCTAATTAAGAGCAATAGCCACCGTATTCTTATTTCACTGTGGAAGATTTGGAAGTAATGGGGCTCTGAATGTCCGTTTTGCTCTTAAAATGAACAGGCAAACGTTAGAAATCTGTTCTACGCGTTGCAATGGTTAGTTAGCGGAGGTGTTAGCTACAAAATAAAATTACGATAATGGAAAAATTATTTCGACGGAATTGGGCCGCGATTAACGATGAATTTAATTTTTGTTACCTTCGAAGTCGTTTTTTCTAAAAGTGTAACTTAAAGGAAATTTAAATTGGAAACGAATAACGTAAAAATACTCGTAACAGGTGCGAATACCTGTTATATGTTGTGTCAATAGGTTGACTCGAACGTCCGATACCATACTTATCATCATCCTAATTCTACACCTTGGTTCGTTGTTTTGCTTTCTCTTTCGGGAGTGGCATGCTCTAGTTCGCCTGGCCACGAAACCGTCCATCCGTCAGTACGGTACGTCCTCCGCCACTTATTCTGAGACTTCAATTTTACGCGATTCACACGCAAAGTATACCGATCGAAATCGCTGGAAAATCCAGCGAATCGTTAAACGAAACAAAGCGAAGAGCCACAAGAAAACGACGAATATATATTTCGTATTATTTCTTACTGCGAGTCATTGTATACTGAATTATGTATGTATTACTAAAAATATACATGTCGAATAAACTTTGCGTACAATATAATAACAATACATAAAATATTCTTCCATTAATATAGTTCCAAAAATAACATTTTCACTTAATGCTACTTAATGTAATAAGAAAGAACTAGTTCCTTCCACGCGTTCTATGTCATGAACACACGCTACGTAACCATTTGTATATAAATAATGATAAATGACTTGCACCGAGACTTCTTATTTTAAATACTTCCGACAGCATCGCGGTGGTTTGTTTTGTGCAAACAAGTTTGTAATACGAATCTTAATAAAAAGGGGGGAAGGGAATTCGCTACTTACTTTCACATCCAGGTACATTATATGGTCTTCAATTGAACGAGTAACTAACCCGCCGGCTATAATACGTTTGAACATTCTTAAAGAATTCATCGTATTCGTGATGCTCAGTCTTAATCCACAAAATTATGAGATTTCTCCGTACGTAGAAATGACACCGTTTCAGAGTAAAGTGACTTAAGAGTAATATTTTTTAATTTCAGTTAGCAAAGGTGTCTCCGTTAATTCGCTTATATCGACGAATCTTTTGTTCGCTCTACTGAAATAATAAATGTCACCTGTATAGATGTCGAACCACAGCGCGTGAATGTGTAGATCATGCCTTTCTAGTCGTTTCTTTAAAAAACCGTACGAAGCTACGTTTTGCAATTGTTGCAACGTGTTTACCTGCAATTAAAACACGTTTTCGCGTGTAAATAATTTCGGTCCGTCTACTGTCATAGTTATTGTAATTATCCTTTCCAAATATTATATTTTTAGATAAGGGTAAGTAGTCGTAGTTTCGTTTCTACTAACTTGAGACAGTTTATCCTCTATAGAGAATTTATCTTCAGGGTCGATGTAAGCTACAAACTTCCTCATCGGTGTCTCGGCTTGGAAGACTATTGGCTGACGGAAACCAGTGACTTCGAGCTGTTGAAACTTGGCTAAACTACTGCTAGCGTGTGCGCATAGCCACGCTCTTAACGGCGATATCCTCCTGTTCGCCTGAAAATCAAGCAAGCGTTTTAAAAACTTAACAACACGAGCCCTTGGCAGTTGATATTATTATTAAAACAATCGAACCTTAGAAGCAAATTCCTCGTCTCGCAGAGCGTACAATAAATTCATTGCTTTGCAGTCGCTGTGTCCGCAAACTATAACGTGCCTTATGCTGTTCACCACGCAGCCAAGCTCTAAAGCTGCAGGCTCGCACATCGTTAGCTCGTCCGGGAAATGTTGAGAATGAGGGACAACGTTACCAGCGTTCCTGACTGAAAAATAAAAAAATAAACAAATCTATGCCATCGTTCGAAAATTGTAATGATTGCGAAAGTGGCGATTGCGTACACAAAAGTTGACTGTATAACATACAGGGTGTCTCGTTGTAAATCGTTACGAAATATTTTTTCGTAAACTATTGTAACAAAAACTTTTTTTTTTAATATTTCAAACTCACAGTCCTTTTTATTAAAGACCTAACGCTCCTTTGTATCTTTAAAAAGTATAATATTTGTATAAAAAATATAATTAAAAAATTATCCTCCGTCGAATGGATCTTCAAGCGGAAAATTTTATTACACGCTTTATTAGATATTTTAAATAATGTTCGTTTATAAATATTTATCAATTTTTTTCTTGATGCTGCGATGCAAATTTGTCTGTTTGGAGAGATGTTTCGTTGAGCGACCAACATGTGCATGAATGATATTATAAGCTGAAATCGAGGGTCTAATAATTTTCGAAAAATCAGCTAATAACACTTTACGTGAGACACCTTGTACATTGTGATATACGACATTGCATGTATCGGTATTCGGTTGTTAAAATTTAATACAACCGAACCACTGATTTGAAAATGGTTATTTTTTTTTAAAGAAAACATCGATGTTTGATGTGATAATGCGACGTAAAAATGCCAAAAGTCAGGCTTCATGTTCGAGTGAATGATGCCATAGAGAAATCTCGTACCGACAAACATGTCCCCAACGTTCGTTTCCGTAAATCTAGTTGGGATCATCCGGGAGTCCATGCAGGTAAAGAATACTGCCTTTGGCTGTGATAAGAGTAACGGCAATAATTATTCATATTGCGCGATTAATATTATCAATGACAATGTTTTAAATCGCACTTCAGTAATATACTTTTCAGATAAAGATTAAAAGAGAAAAATAAAAAATAATCAACAACTATTCCGGATAACAATCGTCATTCGTTTTAAATATAGCAAAATAATTCGTATCGTACTCTTAAAGTACTTAAATATATTAATATAAATTATAATAAAAATAACGTGTGCGTAAATTGCGTTGTTATATTAAATTTTATTAATTCGTTAATTCATTAAAACATCATTGCGGCCACGCATGTTCTTCTATGGGCTTTCAAATGCACGTGCCTTTTTTCTCTCTTATCGACGATACTTTAGTTCAAGGACATATTATAAGGTCATAGTCAGAAAAACTATTTCTTTTCCAAGAATGCTGTGATAAATGATTAAAAAAATATTTATTTTCACGAAATTGTTTTCACGTTCGCATGTTATTGTCAGTAATGATTAAAATTCCTCTTAATAAAAGTAATAATTAAGATCCTTAAAGGGCAATGCTACGAAGAATTAGACACGGTTATGGAATGCTAACAAAAACTTAAACAATATGGTTTCAACATACCTCGGGATGATCTCGTACTTTTTGAAATTGTTTCACCATTCCATCTCTATGGCATTTTCTATATTGCATGATTCCTTTGATTATTCTATCCATGGTAACGTTTGGAAACACTCCAACACTTTGTCAACATGAAATGACGAGAAAACACAAATCCGCCATTACTGGCTAAATGGCGGACAGTTTAAAGTCACTTGGAATCTAATAAAACTGAATCGATTAAAATTTAAATAAATCTTCGAAACTTATTACCCTTTGAATTTATTTCATTAAACACAAATCTATTTTTTCTTTATTTGTACATTTAAAAAATACAGTTTAATGATACATGCTTAAGCATAGTTATTATTCCACGTTTGTATCCCAATATTATTAATAAATACAGCTGTAAATAAATTCATACAAATTTATGGTTTATGGTTTTATGTCAAAAGATATCGTAGAATTAAGATTTCGTACAAAGTATAACGCACGAAATGTTCACTTGATCCATACTACCATTTACATAAATTTAAAGATACAATCACGATCGATTACGTTAATTCTTGCTGTAATAAAGTATAATTGGTTTTGCTTATTATATTAAGTGAATATAACGTAGGAAAATATATATCTTTGAGACAGGCCAGAATAATTGCTGTACAGAAACGAGACATATAATGGCATGGAATCAGGAAAATTCCTTACCCAAGAAACCATGCGTGATTTAAGAGCCAAGAAAGAGAGCATTTCCCACAAGTGAATAATATGAAATGTTCACTTGATATAATGTCAGTAGTTTGTTTTATATTAACGAATTAAATGCTTTGAAGATCCTGAGTTTAGAAATAACGTAAGTTTCTTTGAAAACTTAATTGTTACACCGTTATGAGTTGCGTGTTGCTGTTATTAGTTCATTAGCAAATTTATTAATACAGTTTGGTCAATAAGAGTGTTCTCGTGCAATTGTACTCTCATTCTAGTGACTCCGTTTCAAAGTGACTCTTAGATTCAACAATGATTAACAGCTTGGACCCGGGTGACAACGCGCCTGGGCCGAATTGATTTCTATCTACTTAAGGCTGAGCTTTGACTAGCACGCTCTAGCTTTTCAAAATGTTTTCGCGCATTACGAATATTGATTAACGTTGCTGCCGACGCTGAAACAACACGAGCAAGTGTTTTAGTACTTATTAGAGAAATATGTTTACATGACAAATACTTACGGATAGCGGGATCCGACATAATAACCATTACATATGTATTCGACGTAAATACATCGATAAACGCTGCAAAATTCGTATTCCTAACTTCCATACTTTGAAATTGTGCTGCCAGTTTACTAAAAATATGATTTTGTACAGACATTCCCACATTAATGTTCTTACAATTTGAATTCTTCTACAGGTATAATTACCTGCAACTCAGCTTGAACTGTTTTATTATATTGGAAACTTTTTCGAATCTATGTACATCTCTGTGATGTTGCCTTTGACAATAACTAATTACTAAAAACGTTGCTCTTTCAAACAAAAGTACTTCATCTGCATCGATAATGTTTGTAAATTGTTTTAAACTCTGTTCGAGTTCTTTCACATTAGGAATTAACATGTACACAATTGAAGACCATGCCCTAAATGTAACAATGTACATAAAATCCTAAAATATTATAAATTAAAACTACTATACAATTATGAAAGAATACCTATATAATGTCTCGTCCCATATACTAGTTCTAAAACAAGTACACTCAAGGGGCAAACTAAGTCTTTTTAGGTCCTCTTCTCTCTCCCTGAATATTAAATCTCGTTGATCTTCTTGCACCAGATCCATCTTATGTACTAAACAGAATATTTTTGCTTCTGGACTATTTTGCAATATGGCTTCTAGACAGCTTTGATAGTAATGCATGTCTTTATCTAATTCTCTAGATTCTACATCGAAAACATAGATCAATACTTCTACATTTCTAAATATATTATCACGCTGTGATGCAAAATAATTTTCCATAAATGCTTCTTGGCCACCGCAATCCCAAAGGTTTAGTACCAAATTGCCAAGAAATCGAACATGACTATGTTCTACATCAACTGTAATAAGTACAAAGAAATGAGCATTTACTTGTTCAAACGATTAAAACAACAAAATGCTACTATTACTCACTTGTTGCTCCAAGACGTCTAGTATCACGAGCAATATAATTGGCAAAAATAATGCTACGCATACTTGTTTTCCCCGAACCACTTTTACCCATTAACAGTACCTAAAAAATTTAATAAAATATTAATTATAAACAAAAATGATGTATTTTTTGTAGAAGTAGAAACCACATAATTTAATCGTCTTTAAATGTAAGGAAGTATGATATATTATAATTTTATATAAATAATAAATTTACATACCTTTTTCTTCATCTTGAATTGATAATACTAAACCTAAAATTTATTTAAATAATCGCTCCCTTGTAACAAATACGTAAATAATCCTACAGTCTGTAACAAATCATTTAATAGTATAATATAATCGTACAGTTCAACACCAATTACTTTCACGATGATAGTATATCATGTACATACGTCAAATGAGTGGTCAAATGTCAAATTTCATATCGAGGTTAATCAAAACTATTCAATGAATCACGACTATAGGTGCGACTTGGTAACTTGTAACTTACAATTGCAACACAGTGGTATTTTCATTCAGAAATAAACAATAATAAATACAATTAGAAAATTGCGAATTGTATAAAAAAACATTGGTCGTTTCGAACGTAGGCGACGACTTTGGTGGTAAACAGTCTTACGATATAGAAATTACAATTACTCTCTACTTTTTACTATGTATGTAATATAAACTGCTAGTAGCTAACTTCACACATATTGTCACTACTTCAGCGCCATTGAATGATAAGATAACAAAGAGGAATGTTGATTGCACGAATTTTACTAAATGATAACTGAATTTCAACTAAATACGTTTTTATTATCAAGTTGGTGTATACAAAATATAGTTTCTCTGAGGTATTAAATTTTAGATATGATAGAACAATACACTGTATTAAAGAGGTAGGATTTTCTGGGCAATGTAATACCATCCACCAAGGATGACAATAAAAAAGTTTGGAAAATTAAAATATGAAATTTTATATATAAATTAAGTAATATAATCTTAAAATAAGTAGTTAAAGACTTTTTAGCTTCCAAAACTTCTTATGATTATTCAATTGAAACAGTAAACGTATTGCATCGTTGATTAAACTTAAAAAGATCTTTTGGAAATTATTATAAGCACGGTGCATGTCATTTTTATATCCACTATATTTATATGCGAAGAGAAAGTACATAGTGGGTTTATTCATCTGGCACAAGTTGATTTATATATGGATTTATTTGAAAAATAGTTCCAAAGAGGCTGATTTATATTGATGTTAAATAAAATGTTGAAACAACAAAAGCAAGAAACAATGTTACTTTGATTAAATATTTATGTATTACTTGCACATGTAAAATAACAAATAATAGATGTAATTTCTTTTATAAAGAAAATTCGAAATATCATAGAGTTATGGTCAAGATAATGCGAACAGATTGTTTAGCAAAGTAATGTACCTAAATTGTAATGTAATGCATTTAAACAGAATTATATGAAAAAATGGATTTATTTATTAATACATTAGATATAATTGTCCTCGTCTATATTTTAATTGTATTTATAATTATAGTTTACTACTAATATAGTGTTAAAATGTGTATTACAATTATGATGTGAATCGAAATTTATCTAAAAGAAATCATATAGCTATTCAAATAAAGAATAATTTATATATTTACAAATATATCGTGACACTCGGTTTTAAAAACATACTACACTACTATATACGTATATGAATATACATATGTAAATAAAAATCTCAGCGAATGTCTACATGGAAATACTACCTGATCAAAGGTACGTAATTACAGTATAAATGCATATAAAATTTTAAACAAAAAACTAATCATATATTCCAACTACAAATATATTTGTATTTATTCCTGAAAAGAATGACACAATTTAATTGACATTTTAATTTTGATCGGTAAAACCGTCGTGAAGTTCATACAGTCTTCGTTTTTAATATGTTGGCTGACCTGTAATTGATTCGGTGCAGTATTACCACCGTTTCAACCTATATTATTCTAAATTTTTTTTTAAATCATGTATACACCACACACGCATGTTCGTTCGTGTCCGACAGACAATAATTCGTGTAGGTGGGAATAAGTACATGTGTACGCACTAATGATCGGGCCTTGTAAGTATACGAAGTGAAAGATAAAGTAGAAAAGAGGGAAAGAAATAGAACGAACCAAGTGAAAAAGTGGAAAAGAGAGAAGGAAAGGAAGAGGGAGGGGGGGAGTGAACGGTGTTCCAGTGGAAGTACTGTGCAGTGGCAGAGGACCGCGGTGGCGGCGGTGGTGATTCAGACCTCCTTATCAATCTTGAAAAGTCTTGGTGAAGTACAGGGAATGATTCGTCGACATCGGGCGTCGATTATATGTTCGAAATGAGGTGTCATTGATAAAAGTTCGAGCGCCGCGTGGTTCCGCCTCCGCCGTGCCCGAACGCGGCACATCACGGACGTGTGGATAAAGCGGCGCCATATATATATATATATATGTATATATATCTATATATATATATATAGATATATATATATATATATGTAGACGATATATAATCGTATTTTTTCTTTCGGGAGTGCGAGAAGACAAGAAAAAGGGAGGAGTGGAAACGCCGTGAGAACGAAAGAGAAATCTCGACACTAAGGGAGGTCGAGACAGCGAGCCAAAAGTGAGAAAGAGAGGTAGGGATTCGCGGATGCGGCGCGGTGTCTCTGCACCCGTGCGTGAATCACGCTTTGGAGGCGCTCGTCTGCCCTCCGTTTTCGAGTACACCCTATACTCACGACATTGACCCAATCGAGGACGCCTGCGAGTATTTGCAATTGAACAAGACCTTAAGCGAGTAGTACCGATTAACTTCTCGAAACTGTCACCCACGAGGAGGGGCATTTTTGCTCCGTTTCGTTTTCATGTTCCCTACCGGGCGTCGAAAGTCTTTCTATCCGTGCTCGTGATACAGAGCCGGTATTAGAAACATCGGTCAGACAACGTCCACTAGACTGAAAAAAAGTCACCTCCTCTCTTGATAACAGAAGTGAATGGATCTTAGGATCTCATGTTTTCAAGAGAGAACTTGGTGGTCTTATCAACATAAAGGATTCTGTATATACTGTGATTTAAGAAACCCTTAGTATTTTGAAATTTGCTTAACGTCACGACAATCGTGGCAGGAAGCAGTAGAGTTAAGCAAATTTTTGAGTAAAAGTATAGAAACACAGCAACGTAGAATAGACTGGCAACAAAGAGACAAGAGAAAAGACAACATGTCAGATGAAGAAGACAAACCTCCCGCACCTCCTGTGCGACTTACTTCAAACAGGTAATTTAACTATATATATTTTACTCCTTGGATACATGTAATTTGTTAGTAATAATAATTTTGAAAGGAAAATAGTTCATTCATTGATATCTGAAACATGTACAGTATTTAACTTGTTTTTATATTATATAAGTGTCCAAAATACAAATATGACATTAGAGTAATGTTGCATTGTGTTTCATATAATATCAAGAATCAATATGAATTTATTGTGCTCTGCATTCTTATTATTTTCTTTGTAATATGCAGACGCGTTCCCCCTAAAATAGAGGAACAGACACTAATTTAGTAGTTGCTAAAAATAAAATCCTACAGTTCAGATGCGATGACATTCTGTTGTGGGAGACCATCCTTTTAAGTCTGTGTATACAACCAAACTATATACCTTAAAAGAAAAATATACGATATGACATTTATACGCTAATAATTTGTAAATATGTATTAAATAATAATATGATCAAAATTATAGAAAATAATCCTATATTTTATTTAAAATAAGGTTTTTTATCTAAATCAGTCACAACTAAAGGAAAATTAATAGAAATAATGTAGAGATCAGTCTATAATTGTAACAAAAATAAAATTATTTTATCACAATCGATCGATATTTATTTAATGATAAATTTAATATTTCAGAGGCGAATCGGCACCTAATCTGCCAGTGGACATGCGTCCATTGCCCAAAGAACCTGATTCTGATGAACGTAAGAAAAAAACATTAAAAAGCAAAATGAAGGTAAAAGAGAACAAAGATAAACCCAACATCAGTTACCCCACCAATTTTGAACATACGGTACATGTTGGATTTGATGCAGTTACCGGTGAATTTACGGTAAGTTTTTTTACTGTTTGCAATTTGTTACTATTGTTCAAAATGCACTTGCTTCCTGCTTTGCTATTATACAATGGTACGGAGTATCCAATCGAGCATTGTAGAAATTAACACTTGTTTGTGCCAATATGTTACTGGTTAGATAAATTTTTCTAATTTTCACAGAAGACAGTGGTTCTCAAACATATAATATCTTTGATTAAAATTTTAATAGTCTTCGCTCTTCAAAGTATAACACTGAATTAGTATTTACAAATGTGCAATAGTGGACATTTATTTTACAATTTAGCAAAAATGAAACACATTGCATTATTAAAAATTGACAAAATATATTTATACATATTAAAATTTGTATATTTTAATGGATTCATTTTTTATTTATGCATACAAATACGAACATGTATATCTCTATACAAAATATTCATAATGATTTACTTGAAAAATGCATAAAATTATGCAGACAGCTAGTAATGTATTTGTAAATACAAGTGTAAAGAACTTCTTTTTTTTAAAAGATAAAAAATTTAGATGGATTTTCCGTACCTGAAAGAAATTAAATTTTCATCACCTGATCGATCACATGTGTATGGACATTGTGGAAAAGTAATTTGGTAATTTGTCTGATGCTTTTTATACCTATTATTTTTTCACATGAGAAACTAACTAGACACGTATTTCTTTCAAGCTGCCATTAAAAGTAAGTAACTTCAAATGACCACAGAAATAGTTTGCCTGCATTTTTTTTATTATACATACACATGATTTAACTGTATGTTTTTGTTGCGGTTAACAGAATTAAGTTAATTTTTTTTTATTCGAAATTTAGGATTTATCATAGACTACAGGCATAGCTGCTTCAATAGACTGATATATGCTTTAGTCAACGTTGCATTCAATATTATTGCTTTCTTGCGAAATAAAACCAATAACATTGGTTTGAGTGCTTAAAATCTTAATATTTATTCCCCACGTCGATTGGATTCTCAAGTATTTTATATTTGCACGATGTTCTCTTAGTTTCAAAAACTTTGAGAATTACATACCTATGAATCATATATCCTGTATCACTTATTTCTCCCCTAAACATGTACATGTAACATTAACAATGATCATTTTGAAACATAATTTTTTATCCTAGGGAATGCCAGAGGCTTGGGCAAGGTTGCTTATGTCTAGTAACATCAGTAAACAAGAACAGAAGAAGAATCCACAAGCTGTATTAGATGTTTTGAACTGGTATGACAGTAGTAGTAAGGAAACGAAAGGTTCTAAATATATGACAACAACAAAAATGGTTGGAGTAGTTGGTAAGTTTGTAAATACTTCTGTAAAGATAAATTTGTATTACTAACATTATAATTCATTATGTATCAATTTGAAAGCATGAATTTTTTATTTTTAGCTCCCATTGAAAGAGCAAGTAGTCCCAGAAGCATGGGTATAAGCATTGGAACAGGAGTAGGAAATATTCGTGGTCAAGCAATGTCACAAACTTCTGGAAGTTCCCATTCTCAACATTCACTTAGCAGGTGAGTCTTTTACATTTTTCAACCTGTAGCTGTGCCACTTGCATTTAAATATCTGCTGAGAAACAATAAAATTACAGAGTAAGTAGCAGTAGTCCAAGTAGTACGCCAACAGACGCTTGTGCAACTAGTTCCGAACAAGAGGATGAACCTCCACCGCCACCAATTTCTGCTAGACCAGAACGTACAAAATCAATTGTAAGTAATATACCTTGTGTACAAAATATCAAAAATTCATATGTGCACTCTATTAATATATTTAAAACATGCAATTCTTTGCAACAGTATACTAAGCCCATAGAAGAAGAACCGCCTCCACCATTAACTACTACGTTAGGTTCGCCTCAACGAAATGGCACACCACAGCAACCACATCAATCGCAACTGGACAGAAACAAAAATCAAGCAACTCCTACGTCAACGACAACCGATCAAACGAGACCAGCACAAAGCGATAAAGCTAGAAAGAAAAAGATGTCGGACGACGAAATATTAGAAAAACTAAGAACAATTGTAAGCGTTGGAGATCCTAATAGAAAGTATACAAAAATGGAAAAAATAGGACAAGGGTAAGGGAGAAGTTAAAATGAAAAACTTTGTTTAGACAAATGCCCTTGAAATATATAAAAATTTTCTGCGTTTACGTTTTAGTGCCTCGGGAACAGTATACACGGCGATCGAGACATCAACAGGGATGGAAGTTGCAATAAAACAAATGAATCTTTCATTGCAGCCGAAGAAAGAGTTAATAATAAACGAAATATTAGTTATGCGGGAGAACAAACATCCAAACGTTGTAAATTATTTGGATAGTTACCTTGTAGGAGAAGAACTGTGGGTAGTTATGGAATATTTACCTGGTGGTAGTTTGACAGATGTTGTGACTGAAACTTGTATGGACGAGGGTCAAATAGCGGCAGTGTGTAGAGAAGTCCTACAAGCTTTGGAGTTCCTTCATTGTAATCAAGTTATACACAGAGATATTAAATCTGATAATATCCTGCTCGGATTAGACGGTGGAGTAAAATTAACAGATTTTGGATTTTGTGCACAAATTTCACCGGAACAAAGTAAACGAACTACTATGGTTGGTACACCATACTGGATGGCACCAGAAGTAGTTACAAGAAAACAATATGGTCCAAAGGTAAATTTATTTGATGAACGAAAAACAAGGTGAATTAATTGCATCGTAATATTTATGAATAAATTTAAATTTCTAGGTTGACATCTGGTCGTTGGGTATAATGGCTATTGAAATGATAGAGGGGGAACCACCATACTTGAACGAAAATCCATTACGAGCGTTATACTTAATTGCAACAAATGGAAAACCCGAAATTAAAGAGAAGGATAAGCTATCAGCAATTTTTCAAGATTTTCTAGATCAATGTTTAGAAGTTGAAGTGGAGAAACGATCGGCAGCTTCAGAATTACTCAAGGTAATTTTAATAATATATACATAACACGAGCGTACAAAATAGGGGTTTCTTTTTTACACGTCAGATCTGAGTTGGAGAATGAAATAAATTTGATTAAATGTTTACTTTTATGGTAAATTGCAGCATCCTTTTCTGAAACTAGCAAGGCCACTTGCTTCTTTAACGCCTTTAATAATGGCAGCAAAGGAAGCTGCTAAAGGTCATTAGCGGCAGAATTCTTATTGGCGTTTCTGGCCGTGCATTATGACCAGAAAAATAAGTTTGCAAATAAAAAAAATGAATCACCCTCCCAGACGGAACGGCACAATAATTTAATAATATATAATAAATAATGAATAAACATATATAAACATATATATATATAAATATATAAATATGTATATATACACACATACACACACACATATATAGATATATACATATATACATATTTATATATATAGATCATAGATAGATAGAACTTATCCGATACCTTGAGAAGTATCGAGAAATGGTTTCAAAGTTTTTAAATTGCTCGATTCTCGCATGTTGCGAGGAAACAAAGTTAATCAGAAGAACTGTGAACGATCTGACGGCAGAAGTCTTGCGTTCCTCGACGAGTTTTAATTGGTTGTAAAGAGCTCGCCATGTCTTATTTAAATAGTCTTCAAAGAAGAGAGTAAATTGTAGGAGTGGGTTGTTGCCTGAAGAGCTCTTGCATACCAATATCGAACTGTCATCGAGGATTTTCAAGCGACTGTCAGTTATTTTCTAAAGATATAAAACTAGTATTACTGACTCTAAAATTGAAGATCAGAGTTAGCTACAAACACACATTATTTATAGCGAAAACCTTATTAGATAATACCATAAACAAATGTGAACAAGTACATAGGACCTATTCTAATACATTATTATGGTTTAACAAGAAATCGTAGAAAAAGAAAATTGGTCTTCGTGTCAGACTTATATTTTTCGAACGAAGTTACGGAGAGCAGAGCAATATGTTTTCAGTCTTTGGTCTGTCAGTATGACATAGATATATAAGCGATAGCCTAACTTGTTTTAAACGTTCTCAAGAATCGCGTTCTTGTCATTGAATGTTAGAAAAACTTCATTATGTTACATTAAGTTAATGTTTCAACAGATATTTTTAGTAATCGGATATTGCAATTTTTGCATTACGTTAATATGTATATAATACAGAAATTGATTTCACACGTAGTAAAGTTTATGATAAATTTAATACACGCGAGTCTTATTTAATGACATTCATTTGTAACTGTAAGATAAAAGATAAGTACTTTTTCTCATTTGCATAGCTGATGAGGCACGTTAAGACATTGACCCTGTTACTAAAATATATTAGTCATAAAAACATCTTTCTATGGACGAATGTCCAGTTACGTGTGTTCTCCGATACAGGTCAAACGATTAAATGTCTGACGTGTCTTGCAGAAAGTGAACGGATAAGCGACGAAATTTTAAAACAAGGTTCAGATATAGGAGCATTTTGTGACACTATAAAGTGCCTGTCTTGTCATGTTTAGAGACGTGAAAAAACTCGCGCTAGATTCCTTATAATCTTGAACCATCAATGGAATAATTTAATATTTTGTTTAAAACTAACAGAAACAGTATAAAATACATAAAAATCGACAGAAAAGTATACATAAATTTACGTTAACGATTGTATAAGACAAGATTTCTATATGGTTGTACTACATTAAACCTAATAATTAATGTCTTTCCTAATTGTATTATACCTTAAACATATTATATTACTGAAACGAAAACCTTGGACGTTTTAGTTTAAGGAACGCAGACATTCAGATTTGTCATTTCTATTCTTTTCATCTTCATTATATATAGAACTTTATTGTAAAGTACTGCTAAAGGACGCCATGTGAGAGTATACTAGATATTGAAGAAGTTAACGATATATTGCATATGAAAAAAAAAAAAAAAAAAAGGAAAAGCATACATTATTTGGTAATAAAAAGTCATATATATAATAATGTATTCATTATTTACTGAATTTATTGTTTTCGTAATACTATTATTAAAAAGCCTGATTAGTTTTTTTTATAATAATTATAATGTCTAATTATACTTGACAGACGAAGCAGCTCAGTTTGTATTGCGCCTACGACCGAATTTGGAATTGCATGCTGAAGGGTAAATGTATTTACCTGTAAAAGATCAGGGATTACAACATACATATAATCGTATCAAACGTGTCTCGGTATTGAGAATGAGCTCTTGCATTATCCCATTTCAGCATGCGGTCTAAATTATTCGGGAATTGTAAGCAACGTTAGGAGGTATAAAAGAACAAAAATAACTGCACGTCTAGTATTAATAAAAATACGTTTGTATAAAAAGAATGTGCGATCCAGGGTCAAAATTGACGTTAACTCGATCAGAAATGCTGAACGAGGTCCTGCATTTTCACAAATATCTTTAGAAAAAAAAGTAACGTCCATTTTATGTCATTGTATTACTGCGGCGGTAATTAAGCATATTTCAACTACAGCAGTTATCTATAAGATTTACTTTTATTCGCAAATCGAGACAAATTGGGTGCAACTATACTTGTCCATATTTTTAAATATTATGCAGATATGTGCAGATGAATATTAGGCATATAAATATTCTGAACGAGATTCGTTAATTGTTTGTTAAAATAAAGAGAAGTACAACATTGTATCAGTATGCCTTACTGTAATAAACTAAGCGCTATTCGCAAAATTAATGTAATTGTTATTATTTTAATATCGAAACGTTCATAGAAGAGTCGAAGAAAATGTGGACAAGCGTAAATATTTTTGCACCTACGTTTCGATTACTGTTCCAAGTGCATTTATGTATTCCCGTAAGAAACGTATTATTGTCGGTTTAAAAGTATAAAATAGGTTCCTACATAAATCAGGTTAAGCGTGTATACCCGTTTTCACAATTGTTTTTACGATGTTTTTGAAAATGCTTTGAGATCTCAATATAAAAACATCAGGCCTAGTGATGAAGCCGTTGTATTATTTATGCATTTTATTCAAGTTTTCAGCTTCCACGTTTTAATAAAAATTACATTTTAACTGTACCCTTTTGTATGAAATTGGCATTTATTGTCGCAGGAGACTATTTGGTAAAAATCTGGTTTCTCAGGAAAGCTAATATTTAACTCAACAGTGTCGAATTTAAAAATGAAGGAAAGCAGGAAATGGATAATGAATTATTGTAAAAATAATGCCTAGAATTTGCATATATATTGTACTGTAACACCTTTTAGTTTGTTTTGAAACGTTACAATATAAGGAAACATTTTATAACAAAAAAACTGTTTCTTTCAATGTGATTCTTCCCTCCACTGTAGTATTAATTAGTTAAATACTATTTTATATGTAAACAGTAATACACTAATAAATTTCCTACATAACTTCTTCCTGTATCGAGACAAATAAATAGTAATCGTTATTTACATAATATATCCATTACATATAATATGCAAAAATAACTGAATTATTTTATAAATTATTTCTTGTACATTTCATATTAATTTATCAGATTTTATATTTTATACACGCTAAATGTAGTATTTTCTATTCATTTAGGGTGTATTTACAGAATTGGACCTACCCTAAAATGATAATATTGCAAAAATTAATATAATATGATTTATCACTGTATTATGTGCAAATACACATATTTTTTCTTATATAGGGAGTCTTGCTCTCTAACAAATGGAAATAAGTTTAGCCATTTATGGAGTGTAGATAGGAGAGTTATTCACAATAAATACAGAGTACATATTACAATATTGATATAATAGTATTTAACATAAATGTATCTCTTATTATTCTTGACGTTTGCACTTCTCTTTAAAGAGCAATAAAACTTCTAAACGGTAGTAGCAAAATGTAATTTAAAATATCATATAGAGAGAGAGTATTTGTTAAGAAATATAAATTTTTTCCATTCCATGTTAAACTCGACTTCTCAAAGTTCTTATTTAATTTTTTTTCTTTTATTAGTTTTATGATGTTGTCTTCTTTTCTTCTCCCGCCGCGTGGAAGCTTATGGATGCAGAATTGATGCAAAACCGCTTCCTTGTAGGCTTTGGGCCATCATTAAACACGTGCCCCAAATGTGAACCGCACTTTGAACAGGTCACTTCGGTCCGCACCATATCTGGGTTTGCGATCAGCAGTAGTAGATTTCCACCAACTGTGCGTCAATTGTCGACGCAGTTTTCGTGTGTCAATGGTGAGAGTGAAGTGGTGGTAGCGGAGCAATAGGAAGACAAAGGAAATAGAATAATAGAGTGTGATTAAACGCAGACCAACACCTTTCTGTGTGCACTTTAAATGCTTTCCAGTAATAGCAGCACCAAAAAAAGTAAATCAATATTATTAAAAGCAATAGGTTGTTACGATCAATATCAAAACCTCCAACCTACATAATTCTATTAAAGTAATAAAGGGTTTAAATACAAGTAAAAGAGTTTTTACTTTTAGAGAATTTCTCTAATCAATACCCATAATTTTACTCCTTGCTTTATCCATTTATCAAAGACCTCCCCAAATCCTTTTCTCTATCCAATTAAATCTATTTAGTTGAGCATTTTTATAGTATTGTTTCAAAAAACATTATTAAAGAATTAACATTCATGAAGTACGTAAAGCACTAAAAAACAGTTACTTTAAACAAATTATCTTTTTATAACAGCAATTTGCACAGTACTGTATACATTATATCTTTATTTACCCATACCAGAATGAAGTCACTTCACAGATGTTCCTTATCAGTAACCAATGTAAAAAATGATCAAAAGACATCTTCAAGAATTTTGTCATATTACGATTAAAAAATTTGTATAATAAAATGATTTACAATACTACATAAAATATCACTTAAGCTTGAAACTATAATAGTAGGAGTTTTATGAAAACCATAATATTACATAAAGCAAAAGTTATATGTTAAGAACTATAATATGATGAAACAGCAAGATTGTTAATTTTCTTTGCTTTCATTCATAATAGAGATAAAATTGTTTTTTAATGTAGAGCTATGACCTTACTTTCACACAATAGACGATGTGAGTCTAACACAATCACACTCTAAGCATTAACATGCATAGGTGAGGGATACAAGGAATATTGCCTTTCTTATATAATAGTACAAATATGATAAAATTATAATATAAATGTCATATACTTGTGTTAATTATTTTATTTATATATACTTAGATAATTTACAATCAGTCCTCGATAAGTCAAAGTTAAAGTGCAAAGATTTCTTCTTATCAAAATTTAATAAGTTTATTAAGGTTAACGGTTTAATACTTTTTTTTATTCTCCTTAAGTCTAAAGTCATTACAACTGTATGGAGATAATTATTACCAAAGATTGTTAATTAAAGCAATATACTGCAATTAATAGTTAAACAATTTTAACTCTTTATATAAATTCAAGTTACACAGGCGAAATGAATGTTCTGTACAATTTGGAGTAAACTTCTGTTTCTTTTTTGACCAACATAAAATTTCGATTTACAGAAGCTTTTAACTTAAAGAGGTTTGAGTTATCGAGGTACAACATGTGTAGCATTTACAAAAATTTGAAAATGCATTTAAATTTTCAGGCGGCAACAAAATGTATTACAATGAAGTATTTTATAATAGTTGAAAACATAACAGTTTAATCGTATATTTTTGTGCTATTTATAAACTACAATAAACATTGATTGAAATTAAAGAACATATCAGCTATGGAAGGCTTAGGAACAGCAGAAATAAAAATTCAGGAAAGGTTTTGTGACAGTATGAATGTAAGAAAAAATAAAGAATATTTAAAAATGGTAAATAAATAAAACTCTGAATTCCATGATATTATTCATTATTATCACATATGAATTAAACTTTACAATAAAGAGTTTATTTATGTACCATTTAAGCAGATACTTTTAACAAATGTAAAATTATAGATGTAATAAGTACTGTGTTATTGTACTAAGAATACGAGCATAATTCTAAAAAAATTTGTCAGTTAAAGTAAAATTCATACATGTGCTTACCATGCGAGGTATCTTTGGTTAACTTGACTCGTCCCTGATCCAATACTTCATTGAATGCAGGCCAACCACAGCCACTGTCATATTTTGTATCAGAAGAAAATAATTCTTGATCACAGATTACGCAGGTATATGTGCCTTTGTCGTAGAACTTGTTGTAACAACCACTGAAGGGCCTGTGCAAGAAAAGAAAAATGGTCAGATGTGTCAGGAAGCATGTACAGTAGGAAGTTAAATATGAACGCCTATGTTTTATTTTTAAACCACTCGGTCATGACGCAAAGTCAAGCCAACATATGCTCTTGAAAAAGTTATTTTGGTCTTGCATCGCCTAAAAGTGTATCAGTTTCCATCACACAGACAATATTTTTGGAAAGTTATATTACGAGTGTTGTAATTCGTTTTAATTTACGCAGTTAACATTTTAATACCACGATACTAGGATTCGAAAACGATAAAAAACGAAACTCAAAAAATCAAATCAGTCAGTTGATTATAATTGAATGCAGTCTCGATCGTTAATACATGATTACAAGATACAAAAATAAATTATTAATAAGTTATGCATTACGCATTAAGAGAAGCAAGCAATTAACAGTTCATTTACTATTAAAAATACTAAGCTTTGAAAACAACTGCAAAGCGTTGTTTATACGTATAAAATCGTGTACAGTGGATACAAGAAAGTTTTTTATATTTCTCTTAATTTACTATAAATATTTTATCATGAAAGGAAAACTCGCATCACCTTATGAAATAAGTAAGCGTAGTTCAACATATATCGTGATCCATATTAAGAGAATTAAATTCACGTCACACGTACCTTTCCGTGCCCTTTTCTTGAGTTACGTGCCACTGTAACGGCGTCAAACGTTTTTTTAACTCTTCCTTATCGATTTCCACAGTCATTCTTCTAATGAAATCTTATAACAAGTGAAAAATAATATGGAATCAAATAACGATTCCAACAACACAAAAAACAACACGATCCGTCTTGCCGCGCTTTCCTCACAACTATGCAACTATACAGCAAAGAGAACAGAAGCGGCACTCCGCTTGTTCCTTTGAGACATGGACGATCAGATTTCGTGACCTTGGGGTTAACCAATCAGATACTCCGGCGAATAGATTTGATAATTATGCTATTATAATAACACGAAGCTTCTACTCTATGGAGTAAAACTAGGTAACACGCGATCAATTACAGCATTTACATGAAACGTTGTTTAAAGTATAAATATAGAAGCGATATCAGTATTGAAATTAAAACCAATTTAAAAATTATTCGATCGATAATAAACCTACGTTAACCGTTCGATGCTTCTACATATATTTAATGTAATAAGAAAAATAGGAAATATTGTGAACCGACAATTGATGATAACTAATTAAACAACATTACAATGTGTAAACGTGAATGACAAGCACAGATTTTATATTTGAAACAAAATATTGTGAATGGATAAAAATGTTCCTGTTATTGAATTGGCCCTGTAATTTCTAATTTATTAAGTACTCTAAACATCAATAAATTGGTATTCAACACGATCTACATAATTACATTTTTGATCAAATTTTTCAAATTGGCATTTACGAAATATAAAAAAGTTACTCATTTTCTAAAGATTCAATATTATTTTGTTAGTGTTCGTCCACTTTATTATACGAAAAAAGTATTTTAATCGTTTGCACGAGTAAGGCTTTAACAAATTTTGTATAAAGGAAGTAAAAACTAAAATCATAAAATCGCGAATCTAGAAGTTATGCTACATTTTCATCATTATTTACGATTTATTGTACATATATGTATATTGATAAAGATTCGTAAGAGTATGCAATCCATGTAGGTAAAGTTAAATATTTATGTTACACTTTAAACAATATTAATAATTAAATAATTTGATAAAGCGTCGATCATAAAGTATCTGTGTATCGTTCATACGATGTACATATGTATCAAACGAAAATCGAATAAATTTGTTCAACTTATACAACATTTATAATTACTGTAATACTAAGAATGATAAGAAATGTGTTTTTAACTACTTTCAGAAAGTGGAAATATTACTGGTTGTATAATTAGTTGTAAGCTATTAAGAAACTGTGATAACGCTACCACAGAAGCAAATGAAGTATGATAAGGTAAGTAGAAAGATAATTTCGGAACGCAAATGTTAAAAATTGATTAAATGAATGAAAATCAACATTAAAGTTTCGTCACATAATGTAATATGTCGAAATTACAAATGGACACTTTTATTAATTTTTTTTCCAAACAGAGATTAACCTCGTTAATAACGTATTCAACCTAACCGTGTTTTAGAAAGATTTAGGGGTGTATTTGAATTTGCTAGCACTACACACAAACCTTTTTGAAGTAACGAATTCCTTGCAAGTACAGTTAAATGTCGTAGACGTAATGACATATTTCTATAAACGATGGACATTATTGTAATATTTGACACTTAAAAGTAATCGTGCAATGATCGTTGTCGTTGTGCTCGTATTCTATTCGGTCAAAGCATCGTATATAATTTCATACTTCGATGCTAGGTCATTATTACATTGTTGCACAAGTGCGTGTATATTGTTTACATAATTAGTACGTACGAAAACAGTTCATGAATTAATTCGATTAGTTTGCCCTTTTTTTTTTTCATTGTTCTAAAATAAGATAGAATCATGTTGAAGTCTGTAAACGTATCTTTTAAGAACACACCACTGTTCGCATTTCATGGCCAATGATAATGCGTTGTGTGTAATGCGTGTGCTGTGTTCTTTTTCTGCGGCGCCCTCGACGCGGCAAATCTCAGCGTCCGACGTGAATTAACACGATTTTTCGGCGCAACTTCCCATAAATATGTTGTGCTAGTGTGTGAAGGCTAAGAACGATGAGCTTCTCTAGCGATGAAGTCAATTTCTTGGTTTACCGATACCTTCAAGAATCCGGTATGTGTTCCGAGCATTTCATAACCTCTTCCGGATTAATTTCAGCAATGTTTGAATTTCCATTGTTTATACGCCTTTATTTCTTACATAATAAATATATTCTTGTTATAACAATAATCAGGGTTACTAAAACTACTATTAACTTATGATTTATTAAAAAGTATAGGTTAAATACAATAGAAATAGATAGTTATTCGAGTGCAAACTAAGGTTTATTCGCGATATTATTCACTTAAATGAACTGTACTATAAAATTCTGTCATGTATTTATCGAAATACTTGTTTAAAGTAATATTAATGTTTTCAGGATTTCAACATTCTGCATATACGTTTGGTATAGAATCACATATATCGCAAAGTAACATAAATGGAGCATTAGTACCACCAGCAGCACTTTTATCAATTCTGCAAAAAGGATTACAATATACAGAAGCAGAGATATCGATAGGTGAAGATGGCACTGAGCAAAGAATGGTGGAATCCTTGTCTCTTATCGATGCTGTTATGCCAGATGTTGTTGCATCTAGACAGAATCAAATTAATCAACAGAAACAACAGGTGAAAACAGAAGTGCAAGATACAAATGGAGAAGAAGGTAATTTTACTTCCAATGTTAATTTCTTTATTTTAAATATAGCATGCTATAAAATTACAAACTATTTTGGTATCCTGGTACACCCTGGTCTATGAAAGTACTCAAATTTGATAGACCTCCTTATCATACCAGGTAAATTAAAGGACTGCTTTGGTTCATGGATTTGTTATGAGCTAATCTTCTGTATCATACCAGTTGTGTTAAAGTATTATAAAGTTTGTTATATTTTATTAATGTTAAAATGTGCACTGGTATAGCAGAATATACCTCAATATTAAAGGTATAATGCATCTGTGGTCTAGAAGCGAACAGTTTTATTTGTATATATACAAATATATTATTCAAAGGAGAAGAGGACATTTAATTTAATTTATTAATCTATCTATTTGTAGTTGTTACCTCCAATGAAGGTGTAGGTACAAATGAAAGAGCAGGAGATAGAACAGAAATGGAAGTAGATGAACAACAACAAGGTTCAAGTGGAGGGACTAATGCTGGTTTGGTTGAAATACCAGCGAGTAAAGCTACAAAATTACGTGGTCACGAATCAGAAGTTTTTATATGCGCATGGAATCCAACGACCGATCTTTTGGCATCCGGATCGGGAGATAGTACAGCTCGTATTTGGGATATGTCTGATAACTCCCAAGCACCAAATCAGTTGGTTCTTCGACATTGCATACAGAAAGGTGGTACAGAAGTACCAAGCAACAAAGATGTTACTTCATTAGATTGGAAGGTAACTGTCTACCTTTATGTATATAGGATATTTCACTATAAACGGACCATCTAATATCTTTGCTGTTCTAATAGAAATTAGTTTCTTTGACAATGAGACATGTTGTAGTCTGCAAGCTCAACAAAATTACATTTTTTCGTATTTTATCATACAAAATAATGAATTGTTAAAAATAGGGGTATCGGATAATTCTAATCTAAAACTAAAGTTGGAAATACACCGGAGAGAACAGTTGGCGAGCACAGCCGCGAGCTGTTTACGAACAGCAATGTATTCCCGGCATTAGATCAATGAGAATGTAGTGTCATACGTAAATTGGATTGTGAACAGTCTTAAGTAATTTTTGCTTAGTCATAGACTTTTTGAAGGCTAATTAAAACATCCGACACAGTATGACTTGCAGTCTCTTTTAAAACTGTTCTTTCTTCAAAGATACAAGTAACTTGTTTCTAGTGGGATACCATTACAATTTTTGTAAAAGATATTCTAAATTTGATTATTGTTTTTAGTGTGATGGTACTTTACTAGCAACTGGCAGTTACGATGGTTATGCGCGAATTTGGACAACAGATGGAAGATTAGCTTCGACTTTAGGTCAGCACAAAGGTCCGATTTTTGCGTTGAAATGGAACAAACGCGGCAACTATATTTTAAGCGCTGGCGTTGATAAAACAACAATCATATGGGATGCAGAAAGTGGGCAGTGTACCCAACAGTTTAGTTTTCATTGTGCGCCAGCTTTGGATGTCGATTGGCAAACTAATACGTCGTTTGCAAGTTGTTCCACGGATCAGTGTATCCATGTATGCAAACTGAATGTTGACAAACCGATCAAGAGCTTCCAAGGACACACAGTATGTAAATTAAAATACTCGAGTAAATATTCATTTATATATAAAGGCAATAGTTTGACTTCCTTCGTCAATCGTAGAATGAAGTTAATGCTATTAAATGGGATCCTCAAGGCAATTTGCTAGCCAGTTGTTCGGACGATATGAGTCTTAAAATTTGGTCTATGAAACAAGATACTTGGGTACATGATCTCCAAGCTCATAGCAAAGAAATATATACAATTAAATGGTCACCAACTGGGCCTGGAACTCATAATCCAAACATGAACCTAACTTTAGCTAGTGCCTCATTTGATTCGACTGTAAGGTTATGGGATGTAGAAAGAGGCGCATGCATACACACACTTACGAAACATACAGAGCCAGTGTATAGCGTAGCGTTTAGCCCGGACGGCAAATTTCTTGCTAGTGGAAGTTTTGATAAATGTGTTCATATTTGGTCCACACAGGTAAGAAAGTCATACGTATATTTCTTTTTTGTTTTTAAAATAACTTCACAGGTATTTTACCTTACATTTAAATGCGCAGAGTGGTCAGTTGGTGCACAGTTACAAAGGTACAGGGGGAATTTTCGAAGTATGTTGGAACAGTCGTGGGGATAAAGTTGGTGCTTCTGCATCCGATGGCAGCGTGTTCGTTCTTGACCTACGTAAACTGTGATCGCAATCGTGTAGTAGATTATATTTTGTTTCAAGAACTTACTACGGTTCTAAGTTACCTTCAGTACTTCTTTTACTATGGTTCAATTTTTTACTTCCCAAAATACTAGCCACGTTATACAATTCTTTCAGCAATTTCTGCTTGCTGGACATAGTTTAAAAGAGTATTAATTATTTATGTACAGGACTGAAATACAAGTCAAAAGAATTTCAATACAATATGTAAACGGAAAATGAATGTGGCGCTTTATTAAATATTTTTTTCGACATTACGTTAAAAAGATCAGAAAAAGAATTGTACATTAATATTTTTAATTTTGACACTCTGTACAGTGAAACAGTTCGACAGACATTATATTTCCAGAGAAAAACAAAGTACGATCTTCATTCACTGGAAGTGGATGGGGTATATGTTGTAATTGTAATAATAATAATAATAATACTAAGTATTATATAAATATCGGTAATAAGTAAGAAGAAAATAAACTTTTTTAAAGAACAGTACCTCAATATGACTTATTATTATTATATTTTGTTATATTTTAATGAGAAAACTAAAACTAGAATGTACAACAAATCTGTCTTAAATGAAATTTATTTCATTTCAACTACATATCGTGCAATTTAAGTCATTAAAATTATAAAAAAAAAAATTGAATTAAGAATACATAAATAACAATATTGTACAATTTCTTTAAATAAATAACTTACAAAAAATACCTACATTATTGACAGTATTCTGAGGATTCATAAATATTTTTTTCTAACGAGAAGTTGTATAATACAAGTAAATATATCATGTAAATAATAATAATATATAGTTGTATCTATTTTCTAATAGTAACATAAATATCGGAAGCGTTAACATGTGTTTCATTGCTACATCGTTATGTTTTCAACGTGTTTCTAAGATAATTGTAGAGATCATTTGTAAATGAGTGTTTAGTGTACAGATAGAAAGATAATTGGAAAAATTGAATGAAATGGATAATTTAAATGTTATAATTAATCAGTGTTTAAAATAAAATAGACAAACTTCGATTCTGATAATTGCGGAGTTTTCATTCTAATATTACGTCTGAAGGTATTTATTTGTCCTTACATTTTTAACATGGCATAAAAACACTTACTTAAGACTAAAATTGGAATAATTAGGAAACGAGTCACGCTTCGATGTGTATTACCGCAGACATAAACGTAATTCTTAGAAAACAGCGTTTTAAACACAGCATGTATATTAATTTATAATGCATAGAAAAGGAACCATTGACTGACTATTTTGAGTACTTGCTCATAATACAATATTTCTTTGGTACACTGACTGATCGAAATTACAGTCAATTCCATTATCACGTGTCTTTAAAGGTATTATCATAAAATCAAGAAATGCATTTGTAAGAGTATTAACAAAAATGAAAATAATGTCCAACAAAGAAAACAGAAAATGATTCGTTGAAAAGAAGCTCAAGTATAGACATTTCCTTGAAACATTTATTCCTAATTACATTTATTGTTTTCACGGGTAAGGTATGTTTAATTCAAAATTATTGATCTATATATCGAAATAGTTACATAGCATAAAATTATAGTTTTCAAGTGGGTATTTTGCAAATAACATTTAAGCTCTTCTAAAAATAACGAATAAAATGTTTCACAAATACATAGTTGTTTCAGAAATGTTATTGTACAATCGGTAGGTACAATATTATACTATTATTTCATGTTTCTATGCTTGATTTTGAAGTTGGGACATTTTCATCTTTAAATAATTACAATAACATGCCTTGCATTATTGTGTTCTTAAAACTTAACATTAATACGATAAGAAATACACGTACGTTAAATTATACGTCTAAAGTTGGGTGTCAGTTGTTTTGCACAGTGGTTACTGATTAAACAGACTTGAAAAAAGATCACAACACATAATACTGTTCTGTTTCATGAGTTTGCGCAATTGAAAAGGAAAACATGAAAATAAATAGGATGCGCACAGTTTCGATTAATTAGCATTGCGTATTTCTTTGCCCACTAAGTTCTGAGCAACGAGGTTCACGCGTTATTTCCATTGTATTTCTATTTCCTTCCTTTTCTGGATATCGTAAGATTAAACTAGTTAAAACGATTCAAACTTAAACGGGAATACTGAAAACATTCTGTTTCTTAAATTTATTGATCTACTGGAAACTTCATGCGCGCACGTTAATATTTGCTTTATACTTGACACGTGAGTAATTTGCAGGTAACAGTTAATGGATGAAACGATATTAAATTGTAGACTCTGCACACCATAAAATGTATACATGGGTATATGGTAAAACCTGAGGAATATGACGAATAAATAGGTAAACTATATCGTAATTGGCTCGTTAGATAAAAAACCGTAACAGCGATAGTTGTGATTCGATCTTCTGGTCGAGTCGATTAGAGTAAACGCAGCTCGTTTGCCTGCACCTGGAAACAAATTCAATAAACGTATTCTTTTCAAAATAAAAAAAAAAAAAACTTTGTGGCGAAAATTTCATTATACAGTAGGACCTCAATTATCCGGTGTGCTCAGAATATTAATTTTTTGGGACTCTGTCTTGGAAACATTGTTGTTCGAAGAAATCGAAATTAAAATGATCACTTAAATCCACTCTAATTTTACGTGGGCCTGATTTTGCGTCGAATGACCCTTATTAATACAGGTAATAGAGGCTCTACTGCATATCTTAAGACTACTAAAAAAAGCGAAAAAAATAAAAAATTAATATTCTTATTTTTTGTTGAAATTTCTTAAAATCAAATAGTATACTCTTCGTAATTATTCTGAGTTTAGAATAAGTTTCCTTAGAAGCGTCTTCTTGCAAAATCTCCAAGGCTATAATATAAAGCCTAAAAGATAAAAAGATATCTTGTTTTCACAATTTTCTTTAAACAAACTATTGTTCTTACGTACTTACGTTCTTGCTCCTACAAACACTTCGATCATTCACTTATATTTTTGTTTTTAAATGACACAAAATTTTGTAAAATTCTGTCGCGTATTATGTGCGATCTATCGTTTCAAAATAATTACCCTTCGCGGTTGGTCGTCTTGTCTTTCTCGAAAAGTGGCGTCGTCCGTTTGTAGCCAATCCTCCACTTTTGCGGGCATTCTCTCCGACGCTAAGCTTGGATCGTGGCTCTTTTCATCCCGATCGACCGTGTATTCGATTCCGTTTCTCGTTCTGGAGTCGATCGACTTTGACATGCCACCGGTGTAAAGTGGCAACGATCTCTTCCCGATATTTTCCATTAAACGTCGGTTGGCGTCGACCTGTCTCTGAGCCTGCATCGCTCTGCGTCGAGCAAGTTCAAGAAGAACTCTTTGTCGGAGTACGTCCAGCGAATTCACGATCGACAGAGATCCGATGCGCTTGGTTCGGACCACCGTTGATCCAGGATCGTTGCCCGAGTCAAACATTTCATTCTACAAATTGCAGAATTATATTAGTTTGCTGGAACGCGGAACACGCGATCGTCACACTAGATTTATGGAACTCGTCGACCATCTATTAGCAATTTATATCGAATTTGATTGAAAATACAAGGTAATTAAAATCTGTTCAAGCAATTTTCTATATAAACGAACAGTATGAACAAATTTTTTAAGTTCCAATTTATTCGTTCAGACTTTCAGTAATAACGTTATTCCGAAACGCGTTCATTCGGGTAATGGAATAACTTTGCCCCGTGTTAAAGCGAGCGTATTCTTATACGATCTTTGTGTCCACTTTTACGAGGTACTTAATTTTTGCTTTGCCGCGAGATAAAGGCCTAATTTCTCGGGAAAGGGAGCTTAGAACGAGGGTCATTTTCGTGCTTGGCTTAACCTTTTTTGACCCTTTTGATAACGTACCGCTAACCAGCAAGAAAATCGACGCGACTCGAAAATGGTCAATTTGCGGAATATTTGGGTAGACCTATCAACAGGAAAAGTGTCACAAAAGCTATCATAAATCGCTTATTTCACAAGAAAAGTGCTACAACTAAAAATGGGGTGACTTCGATGAGAATATTGAAATGATACGATATTTAAATATTCTCGTAAACTTCTTCCCGAGGATTGTCCGAGTATAATGAAAGAGAAACGTTATAATAAATGCAGTTTCGCGTCACACGTACAGAGCGCGATATTAAAATAATTGTTAGGGGAATTGTGCGAATGTATAAAAAGACAACGCGGCGCACAGCATCGAACTTAAGTATCGCTATAGAGAATTTCTCGAAATAAAACTAGTTTTAGAGGCGAAACTAATTATTATCTCACAGTCATATAACTTTATTATCTAATATTTAAGTATATGTAATGAGAAAAATTAACTTTGTCGTACTCGAGCGTTCGATTACTCCCTATATACGTACGACGATTTTTTCCACAATTTATATAAATTTGCAAATGATACCCGCATTTTTCGCAAAAGAGGAATATATCAGAGAATTGAACGTTCTATTATATTTACGGTTAAAACGCTTCGGGAAGCTGGAAATGCAGATTCGCGAAGTGAAAAAATAAAAAAGAAGAAAGAAGAGAAGAACGAAACGGAAACGATCCTCATATGTGGGACGCGTACAGTTCGCCAGTCTATCCTCCACGCGATATTTCCCTCATTTTATTGCCACTTTTACGGAATAGGCGCTCAAGAATACGAATAAAAAGTCTGAAGGCTCGTTCCGAAAGAGGTACACGCACCTGCGGTGGAAATTCTTTGTGTTCAGCCGTGCTTCAAATTTCACACGCGTTTTTCGCCCGTAATTTATGCCCTGGATTATAAAAATGACTTACAAGTCATTGAGATACGCGTTGCGTACGAACGTTAATTAAGAATATTTAACGAGAGTGGGTAACCGTCTTGTAGGTAGCACTCGTCGCTTCTGAGATCGTTTTAATTATTCGCACAGAGGAGGGAATAGGAAGAATGGTGCTTCGAGGAATGGTAACGCGACATTTATACGCGCCACTGGAATCGTTCAGTTGTCGCCATTAATTTCCCTGTATTGTTCCAGGCTATGCATGTATATCAGCCGGTCGTGCTTGATTAAAATACAAGAAATCGTTGTTAAACGGCGTTCCAATTATAATTTCAATTACTCGCCCTTTCGGTACATTCACGAGCGTGCACCAGGATGGTTCTTATTTATAGATTCCAGATATTTTGATCGCGACCACGACATTACGATATTTGGCGAACAAAATGATTCCTACGATACTTCAGAATGATTGGACGAAGACTATTACCGTGTGTGTTCAATTACGTTTTGTCAATACACGATACAAGTTAAAAGTTAATTCTGTTCGTCTTTCTAATTGCTTTTTTCAAATTCATGTTCTGTTTTAGGGAGAGGGAGGGGGGTCAAAATAAGGTGAATTTGGTGCGACATAATTTACAAATTGTTCTAAAAGAGCTGAAGAACTTACGAAACGATCCGATATTGTAATATTTATCACAAGACAACGATGTAATTACTTTTGGTGAGGGTGATAGCTTTCCAATAATCTGTTTATACGGTGGTAAATAAAACGGAAGTCGGATCTTGCGTTGACATTTGATTGTCTGCGTGACTCAGGTGAGATGGAACGAACCGTTCTCGATTCACGGTCTGCATTCAATTCTATCCATGATGGAATATCTGTAGTCGTTTCACATCGTGCCAATACTTGATCGACACGTGGTGGATCTTCGTCCATGTAATAGCATTATACTTCGCGCATGCATCCGTGTTGGTGTGCGAAGGATTCTAGTCGATTCAGGATACGAAGTATGTATATTGTGAGTCGCGTAACCTGTTACAAGCAAATATTCCAGGAACCAGCGAAGATATTGCACAAAGACTCGTAGGCGGTTTAACAGGGAGAAGAAATCTTTCATTTGTGGCACGTAACTTTTTTAACGCGACGATCAGTATTTCAGATATTAAACTTGCGACCGGTGACGGAAAATTCTGGCTTCCTTACATCGTTTCTCTTTCTTATGGATCGTAAGACCAGTTTAGCGAAGTTGTGAAATGTCGAGAAAACGAAACTTAATGGAAACCTAATCGATCGAAAGACCAAATTTAAAAAACAGCGAATCAAGTTTAAAAACGTATAACGAAAGAAAGTTAATTAATTTTTGTATGGTAAAGCGATTTATGGGCCTTAAATTTCCCATTCAAACGAGTTACGAGTTTTTCTGTCTTTCGGAGCTACTTTTTTACTCCGCTAATCCGGATTATCGCTTAATCCTGGCAGATCTGTCCTTCCAATTAATCCGGATTAACCGTAATCCAACCGGGATGTGACTTGGGTCACACAACAAATTTGAGTAACCATAAAGTTTGTAAATAAATTTATTTTGTAATGACATCTCGTGTATTATCGAGATATAAAATATCAAATGTTTTGAAAATATAAATTTACCTACGGAGCCTACAGTTACTTAAACTTGGCAAGTAATCTAAAGTGTTGTGCAACAAGTGATCCTCTAATTACTTCGTGCATCGGAGTAGAGAATTTTCTTAAAATTATCGTACCTCCAATTCCGGAACGTGACGATCGACCAGCAATAAAAATGGCGGATGTTCCCGCGACAGTTCCCTTTCATCGTAAGCACTGTACGATATTGGCTGCCCAGACACGATAGTAATTAATAGAATTGATACCAAGACTTTGATAAATGTCATTGTGGGATGCGAATGTATCTGAAATACGGTAAAAACAATTTCTTAGTACATGCATACCATGCGTTTAAATTCTTTTCAAAATAATGTGGTTATGCCATTTTTTCCACATTTGATTAAGAATGTCAAAATTTATTCTTTAAATATATTATGTAAAACACACTTGGTTCGCTACTAAGATATTAGAATTTTATTTTAATCTATGCAATATGAGATGACATTATCACAAGAATGAAACTCTTTTTACATGACAATGTGACTCGCGAACTATATGTTTTTTTAAATATTTTACAAGTTTCCCTTAAAAAATATTCAGGTATCCAGTTTCACCGAACGAAACTACAAACTCATTTTGGAATTTTTGGTTCGATCAATCGGTGCCAAGTATCCAGGTTTGGTCTGGCAACGTGATTCGTGAAAAGCTAAATTTCAGGTGAAGAAGCTATTTGGGACCACGCCTGTTTGCACAGTTAACATCCGGTCTAAGGGTGTCTGGCCGTTTGATACTCTTCGCTGATGGAAGTGCCATTATAACTCCATCCCGTTACAAGGTATCCTAACTACACTATTCCACCTTCGCGTCTGGGTCCAAGAAGCCGATTCAACTAATGTCCAATAGACGTTAGACATTAGACGGTAATACGTGGCAACGAAATGCAATTGTACATCGTGGTTATAAGTCACGAAGCATAAGTTAACAGATCCAAAGAAATCATAATGATGATTTCGATATATTGAATTTGACTCGCAAATGTTAGACATAAACGCGTAATTAGAATTCCAGTAAAACGTAATTCTAATACTCCACGTTAACTTTAGAAGAAGAATAACGTCAAACACGAACAACGAACGAGAAGGTCAAGTTCGGCAGTGAACGAATGTGGGTCGATGTGCCGATATAGACGTCGACGATCGCTGTTGATGTCGTCAGTGACGTTGTCATCAGCGAGTTCATTAACACTACGGGTTTAATTTGCGCATGGTAATTTAGGGTTGCCATCGCCAGCTTTCCAATTACGCTTCGTCGTCTGCACGAACCTAGCGGTCGATCGTGGCCTCTCCTTCTTTATCACTGTAATTTCTTTTCCGTGGGTGCTTTGTAATCGACGAACATTAAAAAAATTATTTTAATCAATGGCAAAATGAGCAGCAACCGGATCACCCATTATAGCGAATGCAGAAGAAAGAAAATTACGAAGCCGGCGGTACGCTGCGTCGAACAAACGAAAGGTTCTTCGTTAAAACGGTTAGTGCAATTTACTCTCAATTTTAATCATGACGTATGTATAGTACATTCCTCTTTGCAGAATATTCAGGGAAACGTTAGTTTCTTTCAAACTTTATTTTCATGTAAATCAAGAGACATCAATAGAGTTCAAGAATACATTGATAGGATGATCTTACGTTTCAACCGAGCATAGTGGTTATTTCCCTTAATAGGATTAGCCATTACGGATATAATATGCATGCATGAAAACGATAGCGTTAGAACGAACTCAATCGTAAGTTTGTCCTCTTGCACTAGCCCATGCACTAGCCCTGTCACTGAAATGGGCTTTGTTATTGTCTTGCGGCTACAACCAACAACACTATCGTTTTCATTGTCCTGTTAAAGGATCGTAATTCTATCGATAATGTCGATACTCCTACTGTTCCAAGAATAACATCGGGCTTTAGCGTCCGAGACGATTCTAACGCGACAAACGTGTCCGGACTTAAGGGTGGCTTTGCGTTTGGACGTTCTGAAACAAGGGACGTGCCAGAGATTTCGTAATATTCGAACTAAAAATCCGTCATCGTTTTTCTGTTTCGACGGAGTGGTTTATAAGGGCTGATCTCTCGATTGATAGAAAAAAAATGGAGTAAATATATTTATAACGTAAGATAATCTCAAGACAAGAAAAAAAGGACAGAAACTTTTCCCAAAGTTTCTCCACGTGAAATCTGACGTTCCTGATCCGGTTGCAAGAAGAGAGTACCATACATTTGCGTCCCACGGCGCGTTAGCAAAATGCCAATTGGCACTCAGGCAAAAATGAGTTTCGCGCGCCTGTGCAACGTCCCCTTCCGAGATTACCAATGCCCTTCGTTCGTTTCGAACACTCTAAGCGAAGTTACAGACATTACGCGCGTTTGCAACAGCCCGAAGAATTACGTTCGAAGTTCCTTTGTAACGTTTCGATTAATTACCAATAGAACCTCACCGTTTTCTGGTTAATGTCGCGAAGCGTCTTTCTATTTCCCGTCTGTCCGCCCGCAAATAATTTCACGCCTATTGCCCCGCGAAATATTTTCTCCTATTCCCCGACCGTTCTTCCACTCTCGCTGTCGTCACCGTCGACGCAATTAAGGTCTTGGCTCGCAGACGAGTTTAAGGTTTACTTTAAAACGGGAACGAGTAGGGTCATGCCGCCGCGGTGATATATATCGAGCTTTAAAAATGAACGGCTCGACGTTTAAGGGGGTTGTTTCATGTTCTACGCGAACGGAAAATTGATTTTCTTTTATTTGCATTCCCTTACCGTCGGAGAAAGTGAACGGGGTGAACGGGATGTGGAGGAATGTGGATTAAAACAACTACTAGTACAGTCGAAACTTTGTGTTTACTGAAATTTGCAATTGAAAAATAATTACCCCGTTCAAATTTACTTCCACGTCTGGTACAAAAACGACGAAGGCTCCGCCGTAATTCGAGCATAATTGCAGATCAAATCTAGGGAGTTTCGAAACGTACAGTTAAACGAATTGAAATAGAATCAGGCTACAAAAATAACTTGAGCCTATAGAATGAACTAACACGATGTTAAAACTTAACCTCAATGTGGAAACTTGATTACCGAGAAGGGAACAACGACAGTTACGTCCGCCATCACGACCGCGACAATATTTCGCAGCAAGGGTACGCGTAAAAGTTGCTTTATCGTTGATTACTTGCTCGATGTGAACGATAAGTTACACAAGCCGCGACTAACCCGAAATGTACAGTTTTGCTTAACTTTAAAGCAAACTTCGCTTCGCGAACGCTTCTTGTCCGCTTCGTTAACACCAATTCGAACCTTCAAACATTGACTTTGTTTGTTAAAACTTCTTCGAAGTTTCGCGTCAGCTCAAATATCTGATCATTCCGCGCTCCTAACGAAATTAATAACCGTTTATCGACGAAAGTACGTCGATTTCGTTTTCGTCCGTTAAATCCGACACCGGGGCTCCCGTTACCAGAAAAGATAAAATAAATTATCGACGCGCCGTCGAGACGTACACACGCGCGCAATTGTACGAATTGGCACTTCCGGTGAAATCCCGTTATCCCGAAAAATGCAAATTCGCGCTATCTACCGCTAAACGTTAATAGCATTTCGTGTTTTACGACCGTTTTTTCCAGCCAGATTAAAGTCTTGTCGCTCGAAGCCAAAGATTCGGCGCGTTGATCGCCGCCATCATTAACCGTCGATGTTGGAAATAAGCGTTCGACGAATTTTATAGCGCGATAAAAAGAAACGTTTAGCCTATTGTTTTATTGCTACTAAAAGCATCCGCATGGTAATCTGTAAATAGAAAAGTTTTATCGCCACTAATTTGTATATGACAATTAAATAGGATGTCTCGTCAGTTTTCACAGCAGTTTTTCTGTTTGCGATTCTCTGTACAAATTTCCAATAACGAGATTTCGCGTAGGTCGTACGTATCGAACAGCGGCCGATGAAAATTGATTTGCTCCGGTTAGAATTTGTATTCGAGGCGTACTATTAACGAAACCGTGCAAGCTAACGGTCAATTCGCATTTATTGCAATCTACATATAATATATGACTTCAATTGAAAAAGGACAACAGTAGCACAGAATTCGCTTTCTATGCAAATTACTTTCCTACGCGCATCGGGCAATTTTTTTGCGGTTGACGGAACTACGGTCATCGTGGAATACAATGGCGTTACGAAAGTTAACTTCGAGAGATTATCGAAGCCTCTCGATTTCGGGGGAATTTTGAACTTTAGTAATTTTATTTTTGCACGATAATCGAATCGAGCAAATCGATTGACGCCGTGGCCGTTTAAGCACGTTTTCGTGCAATGCAAACTGTATCTTCGAACGCGTCGAACATTGCCAGAATAGCAAGCCGCGGTCAACACGTCGATTATTGTAAGGTTTGGTTAGGGCCACCGGAAATCTATGGACGATGGAAGGGCCAAAAGGATTAATTCCCCGTATTGATTTATCGATAATGTCCTCCGACCCTGAACAATAATTATTCCATACTATAGAGAAACACTAAAAGTTATTCACCAAATATATCAACAACTTTTTAAAGACCTACGACTAAGATATAGTTTAAATTAGATCAATACATTATTTTTCGAAATGATCCTTGTGTCTATATGCGAAACGCGCGAGTAGAGGCATTCTATGAAAATTTGCATTCGCAATTTGCAAGGTGAGAGTAAAATGGCGCCGTAATATATTTTTTCGACGACGTATCATTTTTGCCTCGTAATTTTTTAACTCTCAAAATCTCATTTCGATCACTTGGTGTCGTTTCGAGCGTTGGATAGACTTTACCAACGAAGACGCGCAGTTATGATCGAAGTATCAATGCAGATTAATAGGCGTCGGAGGTGCAACGTCGTCAGGCTGATATTTCCGAAAGGTATAAAAATGGTAATTACTAACATGAATAATGCCAGGATATTGATTGATCGATCGACATCATTGGCAATGCCACAAATCTAAAACGTTGCACCAGAATAATCTTCCCTAAAATACCTTTTACGGCTTTATTCCTCTACAATTAATATTTTATTAACACCAAGTTAAATAGTTTTAAACATTCACAGCGAGTAAATCTTACCAACGATCGTATAATAGATGTTGTAATAATTGAATGCAGCGATTTCAATTCGAACGAACAGAACATCGTTTTTTAAATGTTATTAGAACGAATGCCTGTTATAAATTTAAAAAATCGTATTCGAATTGGGTGCCTTCAGCTTCGTTGCGTCGAGCAAGTTTTCCAATTTTTCATG